GAGTGCAGAGAACCCCAAACAAAAGGAATCCAAAGAGGACCACACCAAGACACATCATAATTAAAATGCCAAGAGCAAAAGACAAAGAGAGAATCTTAAAAGCAGCAAGAGAAAGAAACTCAGTTACCTACAAGGGAATACCCATATGACTGTCAGCGGATTTCTCAACAGAAACTTTGCATGCCAGAAGGGAGTGGCAAGAAATATTCAAAGTGATGAATGCCAAGAACCTACAACCAAGATTACTTTAACCAGCAAAGCTATCATTCAGAATTGAAGGCCAGATAAAGAGCTTCACAGATAAGGAAAAGCTAAAGGAGTTCATCACCACTAAACCAGTATTATATGAAATGTTGAAAGGTATCCTTTAAGTTTAAGAAGAAGAAGAAAAAAGTAAAGATAAAAATTATGAACAACAAAGTGACAACAAATACATATCTATCAACAAGTGAATCTAAAAATCAAGTGAATAAAAAATCTGATAAACAGAATAAACTGGTGAATATAATAGAATCAGGGGCATAGAAAGGGAGTGGACTGAATTCTCAGTCGGAAGAGGTCGTGGGGGTGTGGGAAGAGACTGGACAAATATCGAATACCTATGGATGAGGACGTTAGGGGGCGTGGTAAGGGCATGGGATTGGGTGGGAACCGGGTGGAGGGAGCTATAGGAAGAAAAAAGAGGAACAACTGTAATCTGAACAATAAAGACTGATTAAAAAAAAAACACCATAGAGATAATTGCGCAAAGATGGGATCATGAAATGAAAACTTCCAACAAAAAATTTGCCTGTTTGCATACTGAGGATGCCACAGGCTGAGCAAGGTTTCTTCCACATCATTCTTCTGGCGGAAATCCTATAGTTTGGCAATACTTGCAACTGAACTTTGGAGGGGGCCACTTCTGCCATGCTCCCAGACACAGGTCTGTGGAGCTTCGTGCTATGGGAAGTGGGCTGTAACCTCGTGAAACTAAAGTTCGAGGTCCCAGGAGCAAGTGCTTCCCGGGGAAGGAAAGAAAAGTGCCCAAAAGAAATGGCTTCATACGTGACAGGGACTGTCCCGAGAGAGTCACGCCCGTGCTGTGCTGTGGCCTATCAGAGCATTAAAAGTGACAGTGATTAGAGGTTCCCTTGCCTCTACCTGTGCAGTATTTGCTAAAATCTAATCTCACAAAAGCAGGACGCTGCAGCCGGGCGTCTGGCAGGAATGACGTCCTGCTGCCTCGGGGCAGGTTGTGGTCCCAGCCCAGGGCCATGGCAGGGCCCAGAAATGGGGAGTGAAGGGGCACTTAGAGAATAAATGCTCTTCAGTGGAGACATAGAGCAACTTCTAGGCTTTTCTAGGACATCTCATGTCTCGTGATGCCTTATCCCTGGACACCCAACTCGCCCAGAATTAATGGAAAGGTTCGATACTTTCCGTTAACAAACAGAAGTAAAAGAGGGAAATGAGGAACACATAATCTGGAGGCATTTGCCTGGAGATCTGTCACAAAACAGAGAGGGATCAATGGAACGGATGAGCTCTCCAGCGGTTGTTTGCTGATTCCAAAGTCATTGCACAATCCTATCTAATAAAGATGGAATATGCAAATTGACCGTAACTTTGCAACAAAGATGGTGGCACCCACAGCCAATAAGGAGGGAATATGCAAATTGACACAAGGCGGGGGGGCAGAAAGGCAGCTCTGGGCCGGAGTGAAGGCGGGGCCGGCAGCCAGGGGAAGGAAGGCTTATTCTTGCACGAATCTTCGTGCATTGGGCCTCTAGCTGTAAAATAATCTACAGATCACTTCCCATCGGAAAGAGCAGTGATGTCACAAGAGAACAGTGCTCTCCTCTGCCTCCAGACATCTGCCCGGTGGGGAGTAAAGGAATAGAAAAGGATCAGCAAAGCAGAGAATGGTGTTGGGGATGAAGTCATGATAAGTACCTCTGAGGAAAACTAACTCCTGGGAACACAGAAACACACAAAAGCATAAAAATAACATACTACACAGGGCTCAGCTATGGACATTGCGTGTCATATTGAAGGAGGGCTGCTTTTACAAAAATAAGTCTTAGCCCGGCTGGTGTAGCCCCATGGTGGAGTGTCAACCTATGAACCTGGAGGTCACAGTTCAACTCCCTATCAGGGTACATGCCAAGGTCGTGGGTTCCATCACTAGTAGGAGGCAGCCGATCTATGATTCTCTTTCATCATTGATGTTTCTATTTTTCTCTCTTTTCCTCTCTCTGAAATCAATTAAAACAAAACAAAAAACAAAAGTCCTAGAAAGTTGACACTATCCATATGCATATATGATTTTGTTAAAAAATGAATAGCAAAAAAGAAAGAAAACTAAGCAAATAAAAAAACAAGGCAATAATCTCTAGGAAAAACAAAACTCTTACAAGAAAATGTTACAGTAGTGCTCAGGCTCACATGACCCATAGTTACAATTCAGTGCGCGAAGCAGACGCAAACAGTGTGTGAGGGGCACCTGTGCAGGGGGTGGGGGGGAAAGCACACGCGCCAGGTCCCCATGTCTCAGTGGTTTGTCCATGGCTAACATCTAACATGAGTCAGTCAAGCAGCAAGGCAGCCAGGTTCAGAAACAAGAAAGGGGGGCAGGTACCTCGGCTGGGGGAACCAAGGGCTGAGGTTGGGGCCACACTGCTCATCAAGGCCCTTTGGTAGTGCTTGACATTTATCAACTATGGCCGTGTTATTCCCTGGATGAAAACAAGGATTCATCTTAAAAATAAGGAGCCCTGCCCAGCCAGTGTTGGCTCAGTGGTTGAGCATCTATCTGTCCTATGGACCAGGAGGTCATGGTTTAATTCCTGGTCAGGGCACATGACTGGGTTGCTGGCTAGATCCTCAGTGTGGGGTGTGTAGGAGGCAGCCGATCAATTATTCTCATCATTGACGTTTCTCTCTCTCCCTCCCTTCCTCTCTGAAATCAATAAAAATATATATGGAGCCATGGCTCAGTGGATACAGTGTCAATTCCCAGTTGAGTGCACCTACCTGGGTTGCAGGTTCAATCCCCAGTCAGGGCACATGCAGGAGGCAGCTAATGGGTGAGGAGGCAGCAAATGGGTGTGTCTCACATTGATGTGTCACTCCTGTTCCTCCCCTCACTTCCACACTCTCTAAAAAACATCAGTGGAGCCCTGGCTGGTTTTCTCAGTGGTTAGAGTGTCAGCCTACGGACTAAAGG